CATTTTACATTCGATTTCGAAATAGGTATACGTTTGATATACCCCCTAAATGTGAAACATATCGTGTTTAATTAACCAAACAATTATTTGTCCTCAGGAGTAGTTGTTGTTCCAGTGATTAATGTTTTTGTGGAGATTTTTGTAGACACTTCAAACCGAATACCGTTTACAATTTTATACTTGACCCGCTGGCCTTGTCACATGGTCTAAACGAGCTAAAAGAAAGTTGTAATATTTCAATGATTTCGTTCGTTTATATTTCCCTCTAGTTTCATCGGTTCAGCTAAGGGATTCGTTTTTTTATTAGTCTTGACTTATGGCCAGATGATACATACGCACGGAAATGTCCGGTTTTTATCATTTTTTTATGTAGTTTCTCTATCAGACAGAACAACAGCACGGACGTTATATCTGGTGTTTTCTGTTGTGTATGCATTTCATTTAACACATATTATGGACATAAAAGTGTTTAAGATCCAAGTACTCATTCGAAAGGGAAGAGTAAGGCGCCGGTTGAGTAGAGGTACAGACTAATTATACCGAAGATGGTAGAAAGGAGACAGTGAGTTTTATCAAACAGGTTGATATCATTACATATTTATTAAGATCGTTCCATTTTTAAATTGCATAGCATTCCATCGTTATTTTTATTAACTGTAATATTCGTTTGTTATCGTATTTGCAATAAAACATATACGTGTGGGTATTGATTGAAAGAGACTTACTGCACGTAACTTTACCTTTATAAGTCTGCACGTGACCATACTCCCCATATTTACTGGAAGGTAACAATGGAATTACCACACGTTATCCACTTATGTGGAGCCGTCCAGTATTCGTCTGCAAAGTGAAAGTTGTTCTGGGTAATATTCGTGAATCATTCCTGATACACCTTTAACCTATTCTAGGTATTGTAGGTGAATCATAGACATATTTGCATATCATTCATCACCTTTTAGATTGTAGAAGTGTTTCGGAGAAAGTATTAATGAAATTCTACTTTTTATTGGATACGACTACATTGTTTGTTTATTCAACTGCAGTATAGCCCATGCCCAAACATATTGCTATTTGAAGGTACACTCAAAGGAATTAAGGTTATAGAAAATACGTCCGAAACCATCCCTGTTACCGTTATGTGTACAATGTATATTTTCTATGTGTATGAACCCCTCCCTGATAAACCACAGGTCTAGAGACCTCATGTGTATCTGTGAGGACACGTGGGCTGCTGCGTGTTATTTATAAAGTCAGTTTCGCTCTCTTTCTAAAGGTCAGCGCGATATACGTGTCGTTAAGATAAGAGTGAGTGTTAACAAAACACAAGAACTGATTACGCAGTTCCTATTTACGTCGCCAATATGTTCGAGTCCGATGTTATGTCGGACATTTTAAGAATCTTACCCCGAGGTTTGAGATTTTTTGTCGTACTTCCAAGGCGGGATCGATTCTATTAAAACTTTCCTTAGCAAAAGCGGGAATGCTGTGGTGTTAGGGTAAATTGTATGTCATTTTTACTGCTGCCCAATTCCCTGAATGTACTTGTGTAGATAACAAAACAAAAAAAAAAAAAGTTCAGTTCAGCAGCTGTTTCCCCTTCATCAGTTGGTATGTAGTGAAATAGTTATTTACAATGTGATATATCCCTGATTCGAAGTATAACAATCGACCTGTTTCTTTTTAAATCTGTGGTGTATGAGAGAGTCGTATTTCAATCAATTTGATTCTAAAATACATCTTATTTCAGAAAGTAGTTTATTTACTATAATATATCAAATTTTGTCATTGGTATAAAGTTATTTTTTTGATTGAAGCAACTGCAATACCGTAGTACCGTATAAGTTACAATAACTGAATAACTTTGCGTCTTCACTGCCTTCTCTTGTGGAAAAAATCCAGAAAAAATTGCTGAATCATAATAACAGCCTATTCATTAGAACATTTAAAATAAATAACTTGCAAATACAATCACCAAATGACACCATCTACAATGTAGTCTACGGATCTTTAAAAGTTTTTTTTATATCTAAGCTGAGTCATTTTTAAGATATCGGATGTTGGCACTCTGTATACTACACGATTACGTGTTTTGGACAGTGGCATTGGGTTAAGTTGATTCTCATATTTCTCGTGTGTTTGTTCGTACAAAATGTAGCAAATATAAACAAATACATGTCCAGGTGGATATAGGAACAATGAACACGTGTTGTTAGTTAGTGTCGTAAGGTTCCTAAAACTCTCCTGTTTGTGTATCTTATTTGTAAACCGTTAAATAGACAAGTGTATATAGCAAGTTTATAAATAATAAAACAGACAAAATAAGAAAGTCCATATGTTAACATATTATCAAATATACTAATTATATAATTTAGGACATTAGACTTAAATGTTTAAGAGGTTTTATTTGTCTTATTTTTTGATGAAAACGGCTCTAGTGTGTTATCGCAATGATTTTCTATTGACAATGTAGCGCTCAACTCAAGTACGTTGTGTATAACACCAATATAAAATGTATTTTCAAAATATTGTGTTTCTATTACACAATTAAATAACATGTGAACTACTTTGAGAACTTGTTCAATGTTAAAAACCATGTCACCTATTAAAGTTGACCATACTTAGACGGATAGTTGTTACTATCTCGCTACTACCTATTTTATTTATACATATACCTACAAACGTACGGCAATGTCACAATATAACTCTACCAAATTTAGATGGCATTTATATCAGCTTTGGATGCTATTGCCAAAATGTTGACATTATAAAGATCATGAATTGTGATGTCAAAATGGCAACTTTAGATACCAATTACCCTCCCTAGCAGATGATTGTTCCATTCATTATAAAAGCATACATGATATATGCACTAACAGAAACCTTACATCATATTTCATTGGACGATTGTTTGGTTTTTTTTGTTGTTGTTTTTTGAGATTGAAATACTCCAACATGGTAAATATAAGCATTAATAAGGTAGCTTTTTTTAGTTGGTTGGCATTCATTTTCATTGAGAACGCCAACTGGAAGCAGTTCAATGATTGAATAAACGTACAAGCATAGACAAAAGTGGATCACGGTGCGTCCCTATCGTACTACGCCATATAAGAAATATATGATATTCCGTGTATATTAATTGACAATATATATATTTTCGTGAGGTGTAATTATAGTTGTGCAACATTTCGTTTCAAATTTCAGATTTATTTTAGAATTTGACTAAAAGTGTTATAGGAAACATCTTCACATGTACATCAAAATAAATTGAAATAACAAATGAATGTGCAGTTTGTCTTTTATTACAGCATTTGAAATATATCCTGACGCAAGGATTCTCCTTTTCAAAGCTAATAGAATAAACGTAGCTTGATGTTCTAATAATTTCAAATACATCACAATTAACATCATGCGGCGGGGAAAACTCCTATCAGGTTGATGGATACATTGCCCTTCGGTGAGCAACGTTAAATACATCGTACTTAAACAGTTATTGTCTGCAGCATGCAGAGTGGTATACACACCCTATTATGTTATGCATAAATAGGTTGATCATCCACCTGATGGTAATAGCATGGGTAGATTGTCATTGTGCATGTACTTCAATGTTGTGTCGATTTGATGTACAGATCATGGTACTCTTTTGACCCAAGTTAATCGTATGCCTATTAAGAATGTAGAGGTTAGCTCGTACATCTATTACCAATCAATATGTCTCACTCCTATGCGTCAGTACTTCTAGGAAGACAGCTCACGTGTATTACTTAGTAAAGCAAGACTCGCAACAGTTGGTACGTGCGTACAGTCAAGTCTTTCTGTTTTATTGTCATATTCACAAGTAAGACAAGACAAGACGAGTTTTGTTTGAGGGTCGTTTTTAAACCCTACTCGGTGTACATTTTTCTTGACTTACGCATTATATCCCCAGGAGCAATGGTATATTTATATGCCCACCACTTCACTGTCATATTTTTTTATTTTTTTTTTTTATGAAATACAGTTAAATGTACAAAACACATACGTTACAAATCCAGAAAGTCCCTGATAAAGTATTGCTATATCTTGACGGTTAATTAAACGCATCCCGAGTTCCCAGTAAATGGCGGCACATTTTAAAAACCTATCGATTGGCATTAAAACAACATAAAAAGAAGATTAACAAATAAATCATTGAAATGTTATGGTTAAACCGCCATTAATATACGTTCTTTTTATATTATCAGCGTTGAATATGTTGTTGTAACTTGACCCAGAAGGCTGTTGTTTTATCTGAATAATGTTCGGTATTGATCGATGGTCCTTAAAAGCATTTTGATAAAACCCATTTTAAAAAGAAAATGTAACAAGTTACACATTCCTTCATATTAATATACAAGGTAACATATAATGAAAATTACTTAGGTATATAACTTGAATCAATAAAGCACTCTGACCAACTGACACATTGGATAGAATGTAAATGTCTTATCCATGTCCAATGGAATACAATGCGTATTACTTAAAACAAGGTGTAACGTATCTAAAACTGTTGACCGGGTGTACAGGGGCAGGGATCCCTCTACAATGTACCTCTAAGTTGTCATCCTAATTCCAAAGAATTTGTTCAACACGAAGACGTACCCATGATTTGTTTCCTTATATGACTCTATTTCCATCATATACATTTATCATATAGACATGTTTGTATATGCTAACAAGAGCGAAGCATCTTACACTTGCACATAACATAACGGTAGAGTGATTGTAGATTTAAAAAGACAAGTTAGTCACCATGTAATTTAAATCTATAACAATATCAGTATGTCTTTTTCTTAAAAGGAATAATCCCCTCTCACATGGGTGAAACAATCGCCCCCAATCTATTACGACAGGCCACCTATCCCTTACAATGTACACTGATTTAGCTCAGGTTGTTTTCCTTATAATAATCTACATCGAACAGTTCCATAAAGCGGTGCTTTTACTGTTGTTATTTAGAAATTAAATGTATATATTTGTTACAGTTGAGAAAATGGACCCAAGTACTTTAACACTGGAGCAGGTTGAAGAAAGGTTTCTGGTCTCTAGAGATACTGGATTCCTACTTGATTCCTCACAGGTGCGTTAATTTTACACATTTATACATAATGACTGATCGATTGGGGTGATATATTTAAGTTAAGAATGCATTTAATTTAATTTTTTGTATAATATAATTTTTACGGCGGTCACATTCTCTGATTATAAAAAATAAGATATACAATTTTTGTACCGTAATAATGTATCGAATTATAAAGATCCGTATCGATTGTTTATCAATTAGGCGTACTTATTACTAAACATATCAGCATCCTTTACCAAACAAACTCCAGCTGAACAAAATTTAATGTACATATTCCTATTTTACGATTTAAAACTTTATTGTATAACAGTGATTATTCAAACCAAAGATTTATCTTAGGGTATGATGAGTAGAATAAGCTGAGATAAGACAACTATTGATCGGCTAACTGTTTCCGATAACACAGGTAAAGCTCCAAACGTGCTGGAGTCCATTCGAGGAAGTTGCAGAGCAATTAACCAAGAATGTAGAAAACAGGATTATTAGAGAAAAGGTTGAGGAGGTAGGTGTTTTCCATTCAATTATTTGATGGACTTACGACTTGTTATGTATGGTACATAACAAATTTTGAATCGCGAAACTTTAAATGGTATTTTGATATATCACACTAAAGTAAAACATGTCTTAATTTTGTTTTACCATGGAATTGGCAGGTTATATATCCGTCAATGATGCCAACATAATTCCAAATAAAACAGCAGAAAAATTAAGTTAATTTACTGTCCTGATATTCACAGAAATAAATGTTGTTTTCACCTAGATATATTTGAATATTTCACACTACAATACTGAATGCAATTATCACTATATTATATACTGATATCTCCCTCAAAAAACTAAATTTTGTTTTGACTGATAATACTTTCATATGTCTCTCTCCAATAATAAATATTATTTTCACTAATGGAATTCACCATTTTGATATCTAAGGCTTCAGTAATAAATTACTCACATTTTCAATGAATTTATCATTTTCAATATTTCATCACTGAAAATGAGATTAAGATGATTTTCAGTAAAACTGTTCATCATAAACCTGTTTCAGAACACCAACAATCTTAAAAAATATAAAAAGTGTTTCTTGCGCGGATGTAAAACTCCTGAAATCAACTAATGGTAATGAAGTTTTTCATTAGCAGGTTCAATCTTGATATCTGCGACGCAACAAATATCTCATTATAAATCTAAAATACGATGTGACGGTTTCTATACAACTAAATTGCAGTTAAACGGCGACAAGCCCATACCAGATGGCAAGTTGGAACAGCTTTGTCTGCACAGGATATTAACATTCTTAACGGCTGGATATATTTGGCAGGACGGGGAGGAAACCGTACCGATGGTTTGTAGCATTATACCTGTACAACTGTAGAGGGCGGGGAGGAAACTGTACCATAGGTTTGTAGATAGTTATTGTACAACTGTAGAGGACGGGGAGGAACCCGTACCATAGGTTTGTAGATATTTACTGTACAACTGTACAGGACGGGGAAGAATCTATCCTAAAGGTTTGTAGATAGTTATTGTACAACTGTACAGAACGGGGAGTGAGCCGTATCAAAGGTTTGTTAATAGTTATTGTACAACTGTACAGGACGGGGAGGAAACCGTACCAAAGGTTTGTAGATATATATTGTACAATTGTACAGAACGGGGATTGAGCCGTATCAAAGGTATGCAGATAGTTATTGTACAACTGTACAGGACGACGGAGAGGAAACTGTACCAAAGGTATGTAGATATATATTGTACAATTGTACAGGACGGGGAGGGAACTGTTGCAAAGGTTTGTAGATACATGTAGTTATTGTTTAGCTGTACAGGACGGGAAGGAAACTGTACCAAAGGTTGTAGATAGTTATTGTCTAACTGTACAACACAAGGAGGAAACCGTACCAAAGGGTTGTAGATAGTTATTGTCTAACTGTACAACACGAGGAGGAAACTGTACCAAAGGTTTGTAGATAGTTATTGTCTAACTGTACAGGACGGGGCGGAAACTGTACCAAGGGTTATAGATAGTCATTGTCTAACTGTACAACACAAGGAGGAAACTGTACCAAAGGGTTGTAGATAGTTATTGTCTAACTGTACAACACAAGGAGGAAACTGTACCAAAGGGTTGTAGATAGTTATTGTCTAACTGTACAGGACGGGGAGGAAATTGTACCAAAGGTATGTAGATAGTTATTGTACAATTGTACAGGACGGGGAGGGAACTGTTGCAAAGGTTTGTAGATACATGTAGTTATTGTTTAGCTGTACAGGACGGGAAGGAAACTGTACCAAAGGTTGTAGATAGTTATTGTCTTACTGTACAACACAAGGAGGAAACCGTACCAAAGGGTTGTAGATAGTTATTGTCTAACTGTACAACACGAGGAGGAAACTGTACCAAAGGTTTGTAGATAGTTATTGTCTAACTGTACAGGACGGGGCGGAAACTGTACCAAGGGTTATAGATAGTCATTGTCTAACTGTACAACACAAGGAGGAAACTGTACCAAAGGGTTGTAGATAGTTATTGTCTAACTGTACAACACAAGGAGGAAACTGTACCAAAGGGTTGTAGATAGTTATTGTCTAACTGTACAGGACGGGGAGGAAATTGTACCAAAGGTATGTAGATAGTTATTGTACAATTGTACAGGACGGGGAGGGAACTGTTGCAAAGGTTTGTAGATACATGTAGTTATTGTTTAGCTGTACAGGACGGGAAGGAAACTGTACCAAAGGTTGTAGATAGTTATTGTCTTACTGTACAACACAAGGAGGAAACCGTACCAAAGGGTTGTAGATAGTTATTGTCTAACTGTACAACACGAGGAGGAAACTGTACCAAAGGTTTGTAGATAGTTATTGTCTAACTGTACAGGACGGGGCGGAAACTGTACCAAGGGTTATAGATAGTCATTGTCTAACTGTACAACACAAGGAGGAAACTGTACCAAAGGGTTGTAGATAGTTATTGTCTAACTGTACAACACAAGGAGGAAACTGTACCAAAGGGTTGTAGATAGTTATTGTCTAACTGTACAGGACGGGGCGGAAACTGTACCAAGGGTTATAGATAGTCATTGTCTAACTGTACAACACAAGGAGGAAACTGTACCAAAGGGTTGTAGATAGTTATTGTCTAACTGTACAACACAAGGAGGAAACTGTACCAAAGGGTTGTAGATAGTTATTGTCTAACTGTACAGGACGGGGAGGAAATTGTACCAAAGGTATGTAGATAGTTATTGTACAATTGTACAGGACGGGGAGGGAACTGTTGCAAAGGTTTGTAGATACATGTAGTTATTGTTTAGCTGTACAGGACGGGAAGGAAACTGTACCAAAGGTTGTAGATAGTTATTGTCTTACTGTACAACACAAGGAGGAAACCGTACCAAAGGGTTGTAGATAGTTATTGTCTAACTGTACAACACGAGGAGGAAACTGTACCAAAGGTTTGTAGATAGTTATTGTCTAACTGTACAGGACGGGGCGGAAACTGTACCAAGGGTTATAGATAGTCATTGTCTAACTGTACAACACAAGGAGGAAACTGTACCAAAGGGTTGTAGATAGTTATTGTCTAACTGTACAACACAAGGAGGAAACTGTACCAAAGGGTTGTAGATAGTTATTGTCTAACTGTACAGGACGGGGCGGAAACTGTACCAAGGGTTATAGATAGTCATTGTCTAACTGTACAACACAAGGAGGAAACTGTACCAAAGGGTTGTAGATAGTTATTGTCTAACTGTACAACACAAGGAGGAAACTGTACCAAAGGGTTGTAGATAGTTATTGTCTAACTGTACAGGACGGGGAGGAAATTGTACCAAAGGTATGTAGATAGTTATTGTACAATTGTACAGGACGGGGAGGGAACTGTTGCAAAGGTTTGTAGATACATGTAGTTATTGTTTAGCTGTACAGGACGGGAAGGAAACTGTACCAAAGGTTGTAGATAGTTATTGTCTTACTGTACAACACAAGGAGGAAACCGTACCAAAGGGTTGTAGATAGTTATTGTCTAACTGTACAACACGAGGAGGAAACTGTACCAAAGGTTTGTAGATAGTTATTGTCTAACTGTACAGGACGGGGCGGAAACTGTACCAAGGGTTATAGATAGTCATTGTCTAACTGTACAACACAAGGAGGAAACTGTACCAAAGGGTTGTAGATAGTTATTGTCTAACTGTACAACACAAGGAGGAAACTGTACCAAAGGGTTGTAGATAGTTATTGTCTAACTGTACAGGACGGGGCGGAAACTGTACCAAGGGTTATAGATAGTCATTGTCTAACTGTACAACACAAGGAGGAAACTGTACCAAAGGGTTGTAGATAGTTATTGTCTAACTGTACAACACAAGGAGGAAACTGTACCAAAGGGTTGTAGATAGTTATTGTCTAACTGTACAGGACGGGGAGGAAATTGTACCAAAGGTATGTAGATAGTTATTGTACAATTGTACAGGACGGGGAGGGAACTGTTGCAAAGGTTTGTAGATACATGTAGTTATTGTTTAGCTGTACAGGACGGGAAGGAAACTGTACCAAAGGTTGTAGATAGTTATTGTCTTACTGTACAACACAAGGAGGAAACCGTACCAAAGGGTTGTAGATAGTTATTGTCTAACTGTACAACACGAGGAGGAAACTGTACCAAAGGTTTGTAGATAGTTATTGTCTAACTGTACAGGACGGGGAGGAAATTGTACCAAAGGTTTGTAGATAGTTATTGTCTAACTGTACAGGACGGGAAACTGTACCAAGGGTTTGTAGGTACTATATAGTGTATAGATGCTTTTTATGCCAGTTAAAATATGTTAGGAATAACAAGAGGTTCACAGCAACTATGTATTTTTCACGGTAACGATTTAAATAATATATACTATGCAAAAATGACCGAACTGTACCGTCTATTTTAGTTGTTTTGATAGAAATCCGTTTTGATACAAAATAAGCCTCATTTATGAGCTCTTTAAAATTGTAAAAGTGCAAGTACATTTAAGAAAACCTAGCTAGTCTCCCATTGATTATAGGAGTCAGCTGTTATTCTAGATAAAGTAATCCAATTTATTTATATTACCATATATATTAACAAATTTCTCCTCATGATTTAAGATAGTATGGCACAAACCTAGTAGAGCTGTTTAGACATATGTCATTCACTCTACATTGGTATACATAGTACTAAATTATCCTTGATACAACAGGACTAGAGGTATAACACATTTAAGGTGATCTTATTTATAAAGAAGGCAAATAACAAAATGACGAAAGTTGATACTAATATTAATACGCGAAGCATTGTTGGTCATTTTGTATTTCAGAAACTTCCCAGATGTTTGGCAGTTCCACTGACGCGTGTGTCAGATGCTTTGGGGATGAAGCCAATTCTGAGCTACCCAAGCATGATTTTAGCCAACTGGCAGATGCAAGATACCGATGGGTATGTATCGTATTTAAGTAGAACTCTATGACATGTTTTGCCATAAATATCAGCAAAATGATTTTTTTTAGAAACTTGTGCATACTGGCAGTAACCAATTATTAGCAGAAACACTTTATAAAATACACTATTTCTTTTCTTTTTTCCAGGCCATTTGATTTTCGGTAAGTAATCAATTTTGATCCTCATCCACTGAATGAATTTCCAAACGTAGGAAAAGTAAACCACCCCCACAAAGTGATAAAATACGTTATGAATTGCACTAGGGGGTTTCACGGAAGGTTTAAATAAAACAAATGGTTTGAAAATTGTTTAATTGCGGCAAGAAATTTAAAAATTGGGTGCCAATTTTGCCAGCATTCTTAACAACGAATAACGTAAATTGATGCAGTATGTATAGCCTTTTTGATTTAGCTTATTAACACTGCTCTCACCATAGATAATATTACAGTAATACTAAGGGTACCAAGCATGTTCAATTGGTCAATTCGTTAGCATGTTGGCGGAAAGGTTATACAAATCTACCATTTCAATTGGATTATTTTATAAGGAATCTGAACGCGATGTATCAGACACCTGGAGGTGATGGTGCCGAGTGGTTCATCCTCACCCATGTCGTCATCGAACAGAGGTTCGCACCAGCCATCGAGGTAAACATACATCTCTGAACAGCAATTTATACATGTAGCTCCAGGATATATCACGCCTGTACATGTATGTATATCCTGGTCATATACCTAATTTAGAATTACAAAAGTAATAACATGTCCAATGGTTATTGACAGTATGCTTGTATTCATTGCTGTTACATGAGTAGCAAGGTCACCTTGTGATGCTGTTTGGTACCGGTGTACCATTTCATGTTAACACAGGGTAGTGAATTCTCAGCATGTAACATATATACTGTGTGTATGTTACCTTGCTATTCATCGTCCAAATAAATACAGTAAAGTATATCGACGTATATTTTACTCTTTAGGTTACGTAAACATGCATATTATATTTTCAAATATACGTATTTTACCTTGCAGAATATGGTCAATATGAGCATTGCAGTATGTATAGCATGTATGTTTTAAATTGTAGGCTATCGTCAACGCCATGAAGTATTCAACAGCAGGTACTGAGGATAACGTGGCACTGGTCAGGGCCTTAGAAATAATACCTGGCGTCATGGTAGACATGATGAGGACATTCAAACAAATAAAAGGTAAATGCAAGTTATATTATCCTTCTGTTTTCGAAAAAAGAATAAAGGCACTACATCGTCAACAACCAAACGTAGAAACTAAAACTTGAGGCGAACGGGTAACAACAGGAACCGAAGAAATTGCCTTGATCACCTTGATCTGAACGTGCAAGAAATTGCGTCGCAATGCTGTGAAACGTCATACATCTTGTATGGTTTCTTTTTCGTAACGACACAATATCTCGTAAAACTGCTTCCTCAGTTCGTTACCTTTGGTTGTCATTTGTATCAATATTCGGTCAACATTGTTTCTCTTACAACTCCTAATTTTCATCTTGATAACACAAACCTCCACTCGTTTTATTAAACCACTGTCTAACTGCCTATAACCATTTACATCATAAGATAAACCTTAGCAAATGATTAATATCACATTGTACACTAAAAGCATACAGTTGTTCTTGCTCACACTATATTTAGAAACCAATTTAGAACCTTTATCAATAAGAAGGGAACGCAAGAAATTAATATTATTCTACAAAATGCACAATAATCTAACTCAATCGTACCTTAATGACTACCATCCTGTACAAGTAGGGGAACAAACACAATATAGACTTAGAAACAGAAACAACTACACCACTCCTCTATACAGACTGGCGTTAACAAAAGCATCCTTCATCCCATCAACTATACGACTGTGGAATGATTTGAGAGACACTATACGTGACAAACCAACAATTAATAGTTTTAAGTCATCCATAATTAATAGAAATAACATGATTATGCTGCCAGTCTACTTTGAATACGAAAACAGAAAACTAAAAAGTTTACATACAATATTAAGACATGTCTGTAGTTCTTTAAGATATGATCTTAATAGAGTAAACATTATAGAAAGTCCGTCTTGTACGTGTGGAAGTCAACATGAAAATTCATTTCATTATTTTTTCGAGTGTAATCTATATGAAAGAGAAAGAGATTGTTATTACTTACATTATCTGTATATGGTATTATAAACTTAGACTTACTTTCAAATGACAGTTCACATTTTTCTATTGGGGAAAACATCCATGTATTCAAATCAGTATAGAAGTTTACTTAAGACAGTGGTAGGCTCTAAATTCTCTCTCTCTCTCTCTCTCTCTCTCTCTCTCTCTCTCTCCCTCTCCTTTGTTATTTTCATTATCGATTTGTGTAAAATCTATTGATGTTGCGATGTACATTGTATCAAATATTTCTGGGAGAAGGCTTCATAAGTTGGAATAACTTGTGCCTAATCCATTTTCAAATTCTGCAATAAAATATGTTTAAATCAAAATAAATCTTGCTCACAATATATAAATTGCTGAGTCAGTAAAGAGATGAATTAAATGTATTCAGGCTTCACTGTAATCGATCATTCGCCTGTTTACAGACGGAGTAGTCCCAGAGCAGTTCTATGATGAACTAAGGATTTTCTATACAGGGTAAGGACACCATATGTATGTGTTTTATGTTCTGGACGGGTATATTTATTTCATTGACAGGTTAAGTGTATGCATTTTATACAACGGGATAAGTGTATACGTTTTATATACAGGGTGATTGTATGTTTTATACAAGGGGTAGGCGTATGTATTTGATACTGTATTCAGGGTGAAAGGGTATACATATATTTCGTATATAAATCTGAAGTATATATGTGTTTTAAACATCATGTGTGTGTGTACTCCCAAAACGGTAACTGTACGATTTATATCGTGTATAAGCACCCAACCTGGTAATTTAATTACAGTATATAGCTTAACTTACAGTGATTATATTACTTATATCTTTTATATATATTAAGGGTATATAACTCAAACTTAGGGAATGATCAGAGTACATGTAAGGGTTTTAGAAACATTGCAAATGTTACGCGTGTGTTTCAATGACGTGTAAGTGTATATCTTAACCTCAGGATAACAATACGGGGACAGTATATATACGCACACATGTATGTTTATATGTCTTATACACGTGGTGAGTGTACATATCTCATAGAAATAAATAATATATTTTTGTTCACGGGGCAAATGAATCTTTTTTCAAAACAGCGCAAGTGTATATATTTTTACAGTTAGTTATATATTTATAATGTAACACTCTCCATATCGCCACAATATTTAATTTTCAGTACCTTCTGTATCGAAATAAATATAGGTTTACATTTCAACATGGTATAGATTCAGTTAAGACTACAAAAAATATATATGAATACTTCAACACGTACTATATTTAGACAATATCAATTCTCCTACGTATACTGCTGTCTTTTTAGGTAAATAGTACCTATTTGTATACTGGCTTTGTCAATATAGTTGCAGAAATACACAAAACTTCAACTAAGCTATATATTGCAAATACGTCAACGCGAGAATATTAGCACATTTATAGATTCAAACCTCTAACAGTGCCTACCTCAACACATGGAATCAACACCGGACTAGGTTCATACTTTCACAATGACGATAAAGACAAAAAGTATGTATCATAGTTAAACCTATCGATAAAAACGATAAGAGTTTATCAAAATGTTATCAAAACTGTAATCTGAACTTGATAAAGCTAGGGCAGAAAATGAACAAAGGAATGTTCATATGGAGAAAGTACAAGATAAATAAGGCCGGGTGTTCTAAAGGTTAAACGTCAACCCTATATGTTCATAATTGAACACACTGTATTGACACATTATTTAGATACTCACTTCAAACCTCCCTTCCTTCAAATCAGTGTGTATTAAATCATATTAAGGTGAGTGTGCGTAGTTTTGCCTACATTTAAAATGATACTTTGCATTACCTAAACTTTAAATACTTTATATATTCCCTAGGTGGGGTGAAGGAAAAGACCCGCTTCCTGAAGGATTGATTTATGAAGGCGTATACGGAGACCAACCCACATCGGTTCGTATGATGTATGGCAAAGGTCAATATATTCTTAACCTAAACAATGTAAATGATAATATCTTGTAAACTTTCTATTACTGTCAAGTTACTTTTTATAAAAAAAAATACGAAAGAAAGCAACATTTAATACTCTCTTTGATATTTCAGATGAAAGGAGGAAGTGCTGCGCAAAGCACAACACTACAGATACTGGACGCGGCACTTGGCATCACACACGAGGGAGGTATGTACCATGTTAATTTGTGTACAAGGTACTTAGCATCACACATGAGTGAGGTATGTACCATGTTAATTTGTGAACAAGGTACTAGGCATCACACATAAGGGAGGTATGTACCATGTTAGTTTGTGAAAAAGAACAGGGCATCACACATGAGGGGTATGTACCATGTTAATTTCTGAACACGGCACTGGACATCACCGTTGAGGGAGGTATGTACCAAATATGTTTGTGAAAAAACATAGGGCATCACACATGAGGGTGTGTGTACCAAGTTAGTTTGTGAATAAGGCTCTAGGAAACACATATGAGGGAAGTATGCACCATGTAAACTAGTGAACACAGCGCTGGGCATTACACGTGAAGGTGAGAGGAGGGGGATGTATATTCATGTACCACGGAACTTTGTTAATAGAACATTGGGCATCACACATGAAAGAGATATATATACCATGATAGTTTTCACACACCGTGCATGCAACTTATAAACTATTTAGAATTAATCATTTGAAATCCCATTAGCAATGTCGATACCTACATTTGCATGGTTTATGTATGGCGAAAATATTTTAATTGTACAGGTCAAAAAGAAATTCTTGACGAAGTGAGGGACTACATGCTGAGAGAACACCGCAACTTCTGTGCCTACGTGAGGAAAAACAGCAACATCAGGCATTACGGTAATCATAGAATATATATATCTGTATAAAAAGTGGGCGTAACAAAGATAAGTTTTTCTTACTGGTTTCTTCGTTATCGAAATCAAATTCTGCTTTGTCGATGCCATATATCAATTATATCGCGGGAGTAATTATATGACTAGGTGAGGTACCAACATTATTTACGGTGCTAAATTAAATGTTGTCTGTTCAGTGTTATACAATTAAGACACTTAATGCACTTTCCGATGAACACGAGGAAGTAATGAAAGTACCATTGTTTGAGATGTGTTTGTTTCCTTGACAGTGGAGCGGTGTAACAACACGGATGTCATAAAGGCCTACAATAAATGTATCAGTGCTATTCGGGGTTTCCGCGGTCTTCACAAAGACAAGGTTAATGAGTAAGTATGTATACAGTCGTGTTGAAAGTCTAATAAAAAAAAGAATATCAGGAGCGACTTGTACTGGTAGAGTATAACAATGACAATGTCTGAGACGTCCTGTATCAGAACGGTATGACAATGACATTATCCGGAACGACTTGTATCGGTACAGTATATCAATGACAATATCCTGAACGACTTGTATCGGTACAGTATAACAATGAAATCATAAGAATCGATTTGTATCGGTTCCATATAACAGTGCCAATATCGGGAACGATTTGTATCGGGTCAATATAACAGTGACAATATCGGGAATGATTTGTATCGGTTCAGTATAACAGTGACAATATCAGGGAAGACTTGTATCGGTACAATATAACAATGACATTATCAGGGACGACTTGTATCGGTAAAGTATAATAATGACAATATCAGGAACGACTTGTATCGGTAAAGTAAAACAATGACAATATCAGGGGTGACTTGTATCGGTAGGATTTCGCAATAACAATATCAGGGACGATTTGTATCGGTACAGTATAACAATGACAATATCAGGGACGGCTTTTATCGGTACAGTATAACAATGACAATATCAGGGACGACTTTTATCGGTACAGTATAACAATGACAATATAAGGAACGACTTTCATCGGTACAGTAAAACAATGACAATATCAGGGACGACTTGTATCGGTACAGTGTAACAATGACAATATAAGGGACGACTTGTATTGGTACAGTATAGCAATGACAATATTATGTACGACTTGTATCGGTACAGTATAACAATGACAATATTAGGAACGACTTGCATCGGTACGGTATAACAATGACAATATCAGGAAGGACTTGTACCGGTATGGTATAACAATGACAATATCAGGTACGACTTGTATCAGTATAGTAAAACAATGACAATATCAGGGATGACTTGTATCCGTACAGTATAACAATGGCAATATCAGGAACGACTTGTATCGGTACGGTATAACGATAACAATATCAGGGACGACTTGTATCGGTACAGTATAACGAAAACAATATCAGGGATGACTTGTATCGGTACTGTATAACAATGACAATATAAGGGACGACTTGTATCGCTACAGTATAACAATGACAATATCAGGGATGACTTGTATCGGTAGTGTATAACAATGACAATATCAGGGACGACTTGTATCGGTACAGTATAACAATGACAATATCAGGGACGACTTGTGTCGTGACGGTATAACAATGACAACATCAGGAACGACTTGTATCGTTACAGTATAACAATGACAATATCAGGGATGACTTGTATCGGTACAGTATAACAATTACTAAATCAGGGACGACTAGTATCGGTACGGTATAACAATGACAATATCATAAACAACTAGCATGAATATTGAATAGCAATAAGAACATAGATATGACGTTAATTAAGTTTGTATAACAATGAGAAAAGCAGCAGAGAACCTTTTAATCAATGGTTTTCGAGTTGCTTTGAGGTATTTTTCTTTTCTTTTTGGCTTTCCCTTTTTAAGATATTGATGACGTTTAGTCAAACGTTTACCAATTTAAAAGTGTAAATAATGGCTACTTGATAAACTTTGTACATCCACAGTTATATAAGGAAACCGTCCGAGAGGAAAGACAGAAACAAACATGTGGAAGGGATCAAAGATACGGGAACGGGAAGCACACGTAAGTTGTCTAGTTCATAGCTGACTGAAATTATAAATTTGGGTTCATGTGTTGTTTCGTACCGATTTCATTTACTATTTAATGATCTACACCTATATCACTGTTTTCATACTGTACCACTGGCAGTTTTGCCGTTCCGTAACATCTGACCACCGTCGTTCGTTGCCAATTGCCAATTATTTAAAAGAGTATACTCTACTCTGCCTAAATAACTGTAAGGATATTTGACATTTTTCTTGTATGAACGAGGAGCATGAATGGACACTCTAGGGAAGGTGTGGTTGGGAAAAGTGGAGGGGTAAAGGATTTTTATTTTAAATTAACACCATAAAAACGATTAAAATGATTTTGAACTGATTGATCAGGGGGCATTAATGAACTAAGATAATTCATAATAACATGAATAAATCAGGACCATCCCTGGGAGAAGATATGGGGCAAATACACGGAAATTGACGTTTAGCTTTCAAATATTATTCCTTACATGTAGATAAGACTGAAGGAAGTTTGTTTTAATTCACCCTGTACACTCTGGAACAAGGACATTTAACATGGTATAGAGGAAAGGTTACGATTTCCTCACCCTGGAACAGAGTAAAAGGGCAAACAGGTGAAGGCTTAGTTTATGAAAGACGAGTGAAAGGGATTTTCTCGAATTTTGTCTGAATGATCCCAGGGGCAATGCTATTAAATTTTGTACACTGAAATCCAGTTTTTCTTTTTAACACGTAAGCTTTTTCTCAATAGACAAAGGCAAAGAGTAAAATTCTAAGTAATGATAAAATCTTAATCCTGAATACCAAGCAGGAATAGGAGCATTATATCTGCCTTGTAGCATGCGGGGATGACGGACAACAACGATTTTGTAAATGAATGATAATGTAGTATGTAAATTATGAAAACTTTATTTTGTGTTTAAACACTTCAAATGAATCTTTTTGCGTATATAATAATGACATATAGCTTCCAGCTTGTTGAGATGGAGGACCTGTTATAAAGTTTGATGACCTTGGCAGAGTTTCAAGGTCAGAGGGTTCAGGGTTTGATACTATTTTTCTGTGTTACAGCCTACCTTACATTCCTGAAAGAAATCAACGAGGACACCGACAAGTGTAAACTATCTAACTAAGATATGGACATAATTCACCGACCGGTGAAAAAAGGAATCTATTCTGGATTGTGACTCTGCATTACCAGGGAAAACTATGTCGGTGAAAACCACTGTTTTATGTGTTCCGAAACGGACAAGATCGATTTTGTGTCAACAATCGTACTATTTATATTAGCATATTGATTATAAGTAAGGTATATAAAACACAGCTTATTAAGACTAACTATACGTAATGACGCTTTTTAATTCTAGTATGTGGATGCTAGTTAGTGAGTGTATGCACATGAAAATGTTTATTAGGAAATAGATCTGTATTCTTTATTAAAATGCGGTGGAGAGGCCCTGAAATTTATTTGTATTATGAAATGGATATCAATGGCTCTTGAGAGTAACATTATATGTGTATTGTAGATATCAATTAAAGCGTTGTGTTTATATATTGACGTGTGTTTGTTTTCAATCTATCAGGGTCCGAGAAGTTTATCTCAAGATAAGCATACGAATTCTAAAGTTTGTCGTCAATTATTTCATGTTGAAAATTTTCAAGAAAACAACATGTTTCATATCCACTTTAATTTTCAGGATATGAAACGTTCGACATATATCTTTTTGTTTGTTTTTGCGCGTGGTACGTAAAATAAAGTGAATGTATGATAATGACATAACTGGCATAGAGTAGGAAATACACATGAATGCGTACGCAAGTATAGTTACAGGAATTATGTACGCCGAAGGAAGTGCAAATAACTAAATAGACAAGTGTTTACTTGAACTTTATATTGCATAGTAAATGTACATGAATGAGCGAGTTTACAGGAATTATGTATGACGTAGGAAATATATATGAATGAGTTGGGAAGTGCTGACTTAACCTACATGTATGTATGACTAAGGAAACGTCCATAAATGAGCGGGTCAGATTTAAAAAGAATTATGTTTGTCAAGGAAGTGCACGTAGTTGAGCAGGGAAGTAGTAACAGGATGTATATGTGGCGTAATATTTGCACATAAATGAGTTTATACTGCGTAGCAAAATACATGATGTATAATGGGGATAGATAACCTGGTTTTAGTAACATGTAGCGTTGATGTACGTGGTATACGTTATTGCATATTTATCATTGTGTTCTGACTGGTTTCGTATTTACGTAAGACAATGATGTTAAATTTTACGAAACAATACTGGATCAATTGTCTACATTTCAAAGTAATCTGTTCCTACCTTGAAATTTCAGGTTTTTAAAAGTGTCAGGATATATTACCAACTGACAGAATTGCAAATTTATCACAAACAGCTGCATGTACATACTTTTTGTTTCCCTGACATCTAACGAATTGCAAATGAGGAGAAAACCCCACTTACATTCAATGAAGGGAATCCAACCAGTGGGAACTGTAAACAACTCTGCGCGTCCTTCTCTCTTTAACTTTACTGTTTGAGACGCGTTAGTTCTGTCATCAACAAATCACCAAATGAACAGTTTAAAGGATAAAGGTGTACAAGGATGTCTGTGTTAATCTAAATAATTAAACCAGTCATATTCTAACTAAGTCATTTTTACAATGGAATACGCTATGTACAATTACATAAACAAACAAAAACAAAAGAAAAAATGTGTCGATGTGAAGATAATTTCCAGCATTTTTGTTCGTGATTCCCCATGTTGTTTCATACATGGCTGAAAAAATGGAGAATAAATCTTCTTTTTGACAATGACACTGGGGAATGTATACTAATTATAGTGATAACCTTAACCTTGATCAGACAGCATTAGAGTACTTCGGTATGTGTTTCTATTAAGTAGAATAATGTCACATCAGATCGATCTTTTAGTCGTTTCTGATGAACTCGGCTTGAGTTAAATTTCTTTTATCTCGTAAGAGAACAGGTCAAGTGATATGTTACGCCTAGTTCTAAGCTGAAGCAAGTGAATGCATTGTTAGTTACACATATATCTTATAATATTTTTTCGTGAACTCTCAATGTACTGCTCCTTACAGTCAGTGACATCGCGAGCATTTGGTTGACATTGCAAAACACCTGGTGCTATAACATCACAGAGGTACTAGTCAGTTTGCCGAAATAGTCGTTTAGAAATAGTCGTTTTAGAAATAGTCGTTTAGAAATAGAAAAGAATGAACCAGTGTAGAATCAGAATCCTGAATACTACTCTAAAGTAACTGAAACAGGTGCAAGACACCTGTAGGAGTTTTGGAAATCTCTTAACCCTCCTCAGTACCTGATTTATTTTTTGGCCTGTTTAGACGTACCTGATGTCTTTTTTTTTTCTCTTGTTTTCCAAGAAATCACGACGAGTGTTGGTGCTGCTGCAATCTTATAATGTTCCTTGTGTGTGAGGAGGAAGGCGATACACGTTTTAGAGTGAGAGTATTCTCATACACGTTGTAATTATATGGACATATACAAATAAACGAGAGAGAAAAGTAACTCAGTAACATACGCTTATAGAATACAGATGTAATAGTGATGATGAAATTGATACAGTTTTGACATATTTGTTTTATTTCTGTGATTTTGGAAATTCTAAATATGGCTACCCATGGTGAGTTGGGGCTATCGAGTTATTTTTTTATATAAATATGGTACTAAATTTGGAATGACATCACATCCGTTGTAGATCACCAGTTTTTATGAATGGACTATCAAAAATGCTCATATTGTAACAAAATGAATAATTTAGTACATAAGCTTTATAATGTAACACTTTAATTTTCTTATATACAATATCTAGTCCTAAGGCGATATTAAACTTACCCACAACATCCTGGTAAGTGTTGACAATGTACGTCGTTTTTCTTTATGTTTTGTGCTGGTTAATTTAAAGTCATCGCGCACTCTGAAAAAATAACTGTAGGTAGAAACACCAGAAATCAAATATATTGTTACCTATGAGGAAAATTCACATATTCGAATCCAAAGTACGAGGTGATTTTTTACTTTCTTTTTATTTTATTTTGCAGTTTACCAATCTGCGTACGAATTAGTGTAGCGTCATGGTATGCTCTGCTCCAGATTTATCTCAAACATATTTCATCCTTTCTGTAGAGGTACAATTGATAACTAGCATGCCTTTCATTGAAACATATGATCATATTATATATCAAGTTTTTTGCAACAATCACCTAGATGTGTTTAAAACCAACCTATGCACACTTCTATCAAATATAAGACAGGCTTGTAAAAACAAATATGAATATTCTTTTGATGGTAATTACCTTATCATTGAGAGAAAACACACGATTATGTTTTATGTATTTTATAAAAAAGGATAAACAATATATGCTAGACTACTAGATAGATGATCTGGTAAAAAATCTAACTCGGATCACAGCATGAATTTCGTAGCTGACTGGGAATAATATTCGTCCTTCTGTCACCCAAATTGAAGCTATTTAAGTTTTCACCAGGTTTATGTTAATGTACGGGTATGGTTACATTGTGTTTGATAGCTAGAAATACAGTAACGTCTGCTGTCTTTGACAGGTAAATATACAGGAATGGTTACACTGTGTTTGACAGCGAGAAAAATACAGTAACGTCTGCTGTCTTTGACAGGTAAATATACAGGAATGGTTACACTGTGTTTGACAGCTAGGAATACAATAACGTCAGCTGTCTTTGACAGGTAAATATACAGGAATGGTTACACTGTGTTTGCCAGGTAGAAGTACAGTTACGTCTAGATCTACTGTCATTGGCAGGTAAAAGTACAGGTATGGTTACACTGTGTTTGACAGCTAGAAGTTCAGGTACGTCTATTGTCTCTGGCAGGTAAAAATGCAGGTATGGTTACACTGTGTTTGACAGCTAGAAGTACAGTTATTTCTACCGTGTTTAACAGAAAAATGTACAGGTATGGTGACAGCTAGAAGTACAATCAATATACCGTGTTTGACAGAACATTGCACAGGTATGGTGTTAGCTAGAAGTACAGTTATATCTACCGTGAAAAACAACAGTAAATGTGGACAATCAACAACAAACACTTTAATCATTAAGAATTATTACACAAACAAACTTGAACATTTAAACAAAACGAAAGCGAAGCAATGAATAACACAAGGGAGCCAAAGCTAAATAACAAAAAGACGAAAAATCACAAAAGCGAAAAGACAAAACAATCTCACAACCGAAGTAAAAATAACGCCAACGCGTAGACATAAAATGGCGTCTTTTCTCTCTCCTTTTGGCATGATTTATCTACGTCGGGCTTAATCTTCTCGTTTTTTCTATTGGTCGTTTGTAGTCCTCATGCGGGAGACAACGCGAAAAGACGAAAGTCATATTTAGGTCAGAAAGACAAACAATTACTCAAAATGAAGTGTATACCAACTAATCAGGTTTCCGTAGGTGATTCACACATCAGAACGAAATAAGGTTGTGTTTCTATAGTTTGTATTCATCAGGTTTCAGTTCTAGTCAATCTTTGTAAGCTACGAGAACAAGTCGCAGTCCTAGTCAAAATGCTGTAATAAATAGACACAGCACATCAAGGATGAGGACGATGACAGCCATAGGAGGTGTGTCATGTTCGTTATTAAGATACTTGACAACTGTCACTATCCGTGACGAGAGTTTTATTCTGGTTTAGGTAGTTTGCACCTGTCAGTCTCCTTGTTGACGCTGTCCAGGAACTCCAGATAGGCTGTAATTTAAGAAAAGGCATCAGTCTCGTTACAACCGACTAAAGTGAACGAAACGTAACATCAGATTATATCAATAGGTAAAAGATAAAAGCCGTTAAGATTAATTTTCAAGAGAGGATTTTTTTTTTTTCAGACATTCTGTTTTGCAACAATCTATGCTACATGTTGTGGACAATAAAGGGAACTTTTCAACCAAAGTAAAACGAAACTTATTTACCTTTTTTTGAAAAGCGAAAAAGTATAATTACTATGACTCACACTTTCAGATATATGCATGTGAAGCAATGGAGAACAACTTACGGGTACTGCCCGTTCCTCTGTCTCTGATAGCTTCGGTGTTCTTGTTCCTATCTGCTCTCTCAGAAGGTTCCCTGACGTATCTGTTGAATGCGAAATGTACAACTTTCAAAAGGAATTAAACCGTAGATTTCACATTAATATCCCTTTACCTAACTCCCTCTACCCTGTAAGAGCCAATAACCTTGTCATTGTGATAGAGTTATATGAATGAAAGTCGTCCCTGATATTGTCATTGTTCATCTCTATCAATATAACTGATTTCTGATATTGTCAAGTCGTCCGAGATATTGTAAGTGCTATACTGTACCGATACAAGTCGTCCTTGATATTGTCATTGTTATACCGTACCGAAACAAGTCGTCCCTGATATTGTCATTGTTATACTGTACCGATACAAGTCGTTTCTTATATGTCATTGTTATACTGTACCGAAACAAGTCGTCCCTGATATTGTCATTGTTATACTAGACTGCTACAAATCGTCCCTTATACTGTCATTGTTATACTGTCCCGATACAATTCGTTTCTTATATGTCATTGTTATACTGCACCGAAACAAGTCGTCCCTGCTATTGTCATTGTTATCCCGTACCGAAACAAGTCTTCCCTGATATTGTCATTGGTATACCACTCCGACGAAAGTCGTTCCTGATATTGTCACTGTTATACTGTACCAATACAAGTCATCCCTGATATTTTCATTGTTATACTATATTGTCATTGTTATCCGTAACGACGAAAGTCGTTTCTTATATGTCATTGTTACACTGTACCGAAACAAGGCGTCCCTGATATTGTAATTGTTATACTGTACATTGTTATACCGTACCGAAACAAATCGTCCCTGATATTGTAATTGTTATACTGTACCAATACAAGTCATCGCTGATATTGTCATTTCTATACCGTACCGATACAAGTCCTCCCTGATATTGTCATTATTATACTGTACCGACAAAAGTCGTCCCTGATATTGTCATTATTATACCGTACCGGTACAAGTCCTCCCTGATATTGTCATTGTTATACTAGACTGATACAAATCGTCCCTGAAATTGTCATTGTTATACGGTACCAATACAAGTCATCCCTGATATTGTCATTGTCATACTGTACCGATACAAGTCGTCCCTGATATTGTCATTGTTATACTCTTCCGATACAAGTCGTCCCTGATATTGTCATTGTTATACTCTACCGATACAAGTCATCCCTGATATTGTCATTGTTATACTGTACCAATACAAGTCGTCCCTGATATTGTCATTGGTATACCATTCCGACGAAAGTCGTTCCTGATATTGTCATTGTTATACTGTACCAATACAAGTCGTTCCTGATATTGTCATTGTTATCCGTAACGACGAAAGTCGTTTCTTATTTGTCATTGTTATACCATACCGACACAAGTCGTTCCTGATATTGTCATTGTTATACTCTACCGATACAAGTCGTCCCTGATATTGTCATTATTATACCATACCCACACAAGTCGTCCCTGATATTGTCATTGTTATACTAGACTGCTACAAATCGTCCCTTATACTGTCATTGTTATAATATACTTATACAGGTTGTCCCTGATATTGTCATTTCTATACCGTACCGATACAAGTCCTCCCTGATATTGTCATTATTATACTGTACCGACAAAAGTCGTCCCTGATATTGTCATTATTATACCGTACCGGTACAAGTCCTCCCTGATATTGTCATTGTTATACTAGACTGATACAAATCGTCCCTGAAATTGTCATTGTTATACGGTACCAATACAAGTCATCCCTGATATTGTCATTGTCATACTGTACCGATACAAGTCGTCCCTGATTTTGTCATTGTTATACTCTTCCGATACAAGTCGTCCCTGATATTGTCATTGTTATACTCTACCGATACAAGTCATTCCTGATATTGTCATTGTTATACTGTACCGATATAAGTCGTTCCTGATATTTTCATTGTTATACTGAACCGATACAGGTCCTGTCTGATATTGTCATTGTTATACTGTACCGTTAAAAGTCGTCCCTGATATTGTCATTGTTATACTCTACCGATACAAGTCGTCACTGATATGTTCACTGTAATACTGTACCGATACAAGTCGTCCCTGATATTGTCATTGGTATACCATTCCGACACAAGGCGTTCCTGATATTGTCATTATTATACTGTACCGATACAAGTCATCCCTGATATTGTCATTGTTATACTGTAGCGATACAAGGGGTCCCTGATATGTTCATTGTTATACTGTACCGATACCAGTCGTCCCTGATATTGTCATTGGTATACCATACCGACACAAGTCGTTCCTGATATTGTCATTGTTATACTGTACCGATACAAGTCGTCCCTGATATTGTCATTGGTATACCATACCGACACAAGGCGTTCCTGATATTGTCATTGTTATACTGTACCGATACAGGTCCTCCCGGATATTGTTATTGTTATACTGTACCGTTACAAGTCGTCCCTGATATTGTCATTGTTATACTGTACCGATACAAGTCGTTCCCGATATTTTCATTGTTATACTGTACCGATACAAGTCGTTCCTGATATTGTCATTGTTATACT